ATTATACATTTTTAACAAAATTTTTATTTTAAATTTATTTTATTAATATATTTATTGCCATTACCTCTTCAAGATGTGATCCTGCGATCACTTCTAAACATTTTAGATGACATCGTGCTTTTGATTGAGTGTCGACATAATCGTTTTGCCAATATTTCGTCATCATACGATCACACGGACTTATGCGCATGCAATTTTTCTTCTATTCGGTATGTTTATAAAATAATACGATTTAAATAATTATAAATATTGTTTGTTATATATGATTAGATAATTATTAGAAATATAATAACCTACTATAAATAGAAGAAAAACCCACCCCGCCCTCCAATCATTACTCACCAGTATACAAATCATCAACTTTTCTTTTTTAAATTATTTAGCCAAAAGCAAAGGTTTTTTAAAAAGGTAAATTACGAGTTAGAGTTAAAAAACACAATAAAAAAAATAAAATATAAAATATAAAATATACATATATTATAATATTTTAGAGCGTAGGCTGCTTGAACTGAAAATTCGCCACTGAAACGATAATATTATGAGGAACTGTACGTTAATATTTTATCATATACGTCAACGGCGTTTTATTTTGTTTACGTAGGCCGACACGATTTATCTTTAAGCCATTCGAGATCTACTTTGTTCGGTTGGCGTTAATTATTATGGAAATATATCATCGCGATTGAAATACGTGGGGTTTTGTCGGATATGAATTATTATATTATATTATAAAGAACGCGTGTTTTTTGTTCTATTCCGAAACTGTGCCCTCGCGCGTATAGTGTGATATATTATTAATAATATTATACCTAACTTAGTGCTGGGTGAAATATTCAAATAATACAATAGATACTAAAAAACGATACGTCCTGACACAAATCGTAAACTCGTCCTTAATAATGATTACTTTAATTTTTAGTTGAAATCGTTTTAGAGGTACCTATAGTAGGCGCTGGTACACCTACCTTTGCAGGTCTCTTGGACGGGGTTAACTTCGGAAAGTTCGATTGTTGTAGACGTGAACTGGCTAATTTCTCATTTCGACGGATCTTTGTTGCCATATTTTTCCTCTTTCTGAAAAAACGTGTGATTTAATGTTAATATTTTTATTATTACTAATGATTTATCGGCATAACTAACCCACCCCTAGGACGGTGGTATCTCGTTTTCTACAGTAAATAATTTAGAAGTAAATTCGCTTTTCATTTAAATACTTTTTATAACACAAAGTTATATTTATTTTTACGGAAATAAATGTAATAAGATTAAAATAACATGACCTTAATTAGAACTCTGGTTGAATGTACTTCAGGGCATATATTATAATGGTTAATTGGTTGTTACATAATATTGTGTATTTGTGGTGTACATGTACTTTGCAGAGCATTATAAATTATAATAACGTTTTATCACTGCAGCAAATCAGTGATAACATACGCAGTATACACGTTAAAAATTAAAAGTTCCTCTAATTTAGAACCACATGCTTTGAAAATGTACCTACTACCAAAGTTTAAGCACTTCGAGATCCGCAAAAAAAATTTAATATATTAATTCCGCCTAGAGCACCGATTTGTTCTAAAAGAATCCTATTTAAGTAATATTTTGTATGTTTCTGTTCGGTCAGTTCGATTCCACTCCAACTAGTACCTACCTAAGTGATTATGACATTTAAACGTCAGTCAAAAAGTTTGAGTACACGTAAAGTATTTAAAAATTAACGTTATGACCGTTTATAACATTGGTGGCCCATCATTCTCATATTGGACAAGATCTAATAACTGCTTATTAGGACTGTTGTAACAGTTGTTACGTTTAACAAATTACACTAATTCTGTTCAGTATAAAATATCGATAGATATCGAATTATTGAATATAAATGAGTTTTATTTATTCGTCGCTATTTTGTTAAAAACATTAAATTTCTTTTCACTTCCTTGAATGATTACTTTTAATTTTTTCTTAACAGTGTTTGAAATAAAAATGAATAGGTACGGTGACTGCATTGCAATATGATACGATTTTATGAATCGCCAATATCTCACGAGTCACTACTCATCAGTAATCTAATTACTAAAACTCTAAAACATTTTATCCACACAAAATATAATTTCAACACTGATAATATAATGCGATCACCGAACTTATTATAGAAAAAAATAAATAATAAATCGTGAATGCTGTTATCGATGTCTTATTATATTTTATTAATCCTATCATATTATGCTAAGTGTATCAGTATGAAACTATTAAAAACAAAAAAAACTATTGCACTTAAACGGTTACCTGCGTAGCTGTAAAAAAATTGGACGAGCACGGCGTATGTTCAAATATAATTCGAGTTCGTCAATAGTAAAAAACAAAATATTACTTTATTTGAACAACGAATATCATTCGAACGGTCAACGGATAAAATCGACCGCAGATTTTCATGTCACGCAACCAGAATCCATAGATTACTATACATTTTTACCAACGTAACAATTGTTTTAATTTACCAACGACACGATTTTATATAATCTCTTTTTTAACATAGATAGATATTATGTTTTTGGGCTGGATAAAACTTTTTTACACCGATTTTATCAATATCGATTATCACGACATTTTGTTTGTAATGACCAAAAAAACACAAATCAACAATAAAAACAAAAAAATTGAATTAACTAAATATAGAATATGTTACCTACTATAAAATATATTTTTCCAGTGCAGCACTATACCGAAAAACATATCTATAATTTCTTAATGCCGTTCAGCATTTATATATAGGTACTAATAAATAAATGAATTTACCTAACTGCAGGGAAAAAATATTTACTAAGCATGGTACTTATAATATATTTGTTAACGTTTACTTTATGCTTACCTATGTATGTTAGGGAGGCGTTCGAATCGGCGTTAGGATGTATATTATCGACGCCTATAAAATAAAAAAATAATCGATTAAATCTCGTTTATGACGGGATATTCTTTAATAATTTATTCTCGAGATGCTGCTGACTCAGAGTCGATGTTGTAATACGAGAATTCCCGCGGTCACTGTTATTTCGATAGGATTTCAAAAAAAAAAAGTCTCATTCGTTTCTTGTGCAATGCAACCGAACCATAAATCGCGGCGTGTAAGACCACGTGGATCACTATGACGAACACGATCGTTTCCGGGTATAGGATTCGTGGACACATCGTGATAAATCGTCTGACCGTCGGAGCCCCCTGCAAGCCCTTGGATTGTATGTGTCGTTGGACAATATTATTTTGGAGTCCAAGCAACAACAATAATAATAATATATTTCCCGGAAAAGCTCACTAATAAACGGAATTTGCACCGACCGCTAACCGATGTCGACAACGACGACGGACAAATATCCTATAACATTATGTAACGGTCGTCGTCCGATAGATAAATCTGACCATGAAAGATTCGTATTGAATTATGTGTGACGGTATAATATTATATATGTTGTAAATTATATGAAACAAAAAAGAAGATTATAAAAAGGGCAAAAGGCTCTAGCCCATCACCACCCCTTCTCACCGGACGTCCGGATCGAAAAATATTTAATATAATATTTCGGCGTATTTGTATACATCATACACAGTAACAATTTGCCGACTGAGAAAATTGTGACCTGGAACTCTTATCACGTGAAAAACCGAGCGGCTGACGTACTGCTGTAATATATTGTTATTACGCTTTTTATATTATGTAATATTGTAGTCGCACACAATTGTATTATTATTATTATTACTATTATTATCAGCCAAGCTCGGCGCGTTAAGTCGCGCCGTGACGAGACTTAACAATACTCTGCCAGTCGCCAGGGCACGTGAGAAAATAAGTCACTGTTGTTATTTTTTGAAATTAGTTGTAACCCTCCGCGAACGGATATTAGAAAACAGCGCAGAATATACTACGACTAACGGACGACGAGGAAGTGTGACGCGGAAATCGAACTTCGAACGTCTAGTTACACGATGAAATAATAATAAAATATAAGACTAATGCGACTAAAATTAATGAAACAAATCGACAGCATTACAATAGAACTAATAATTTTTCCAATTTTAAAATATGAATTACGACGTGCATCGTGTTTAAAAATTTTTCTCGTTGTTATAAAAACGGAATATGAAGGGATGGAACGTATATTTTAATTTCTCTCTCTACATGAATATAAAGTTTGTTTTATTTCCCACATGATATAATTACAATGGTGACCAAAAAATAAATAAATAAATATTGATCATAATTAAATACTAAAAACTCGCTATTAAAAAATTGTTTCTAAATTTTATCTTCAAAGGAGTAGCCCTTGAGTCGTTTAGTCCTGAAAAATTCTATTCCTCCTCCTCCACCCCCCAATAATGGTGAGCAATGAGATCAGAGGCAAAAGTCCTTCATTTTTAAATAAAACATTTTATATTATTAGAATATTTGGTAGAAAATCAGTTCGAATTCAAATCGATTTTATCGATAAATCATATTCAACACAAATTACCTGGACGAACAGACAACTTAGGAGTCCGTTGTTATCCAGGAATTTATACCTGCAGTATTTTATTTCATTTTTCATAAACTTTTCTTACTCTCCCCGCCATCAAAATAGTTTATCATTAAACGATAACCCAAAAATCTGTTCTTTAAAACTTACCTGTTATCTATGACTTAGAGTCAAATTCGAAATAATAATAAATGATACACGTTTTGAATTATTATTAATATTTAGTAAAATATATTAACTGTGCAAATCATAGATAAAATATAAAATAGTTTCTGTCAAATATAAATTTTCTAAAATATATTTATTTGCAGTGCATATATCTATATATATTATTCAATATATAATATTATACCCGTGTAGGAATATTGTTGTGGAGTAGTTATATTTTATTTTGACTGACAGTGCGTATTTTAAAAATATTTTTAAGTCTTTTAAAAATAATCATTATCGGTCGGTTAATTTTCAACAACAAAAAAAAACCGACAATCCACTATGTAGTGTGGATAATGCACATTGAGGGTGATTTCGTACGTGTAGAAAGTTTAGAAGTTAATTAAACGAATTAACTTTTTTAACGAATTCCGCGATTTTATCGATTTCCGACGAGAAACAAAGCACAAAACAGCACGTCCATCATCGCACTGCCTTCCGCCACACCACAATCTCATTTTTTAACAAATTTCACGTATAATAGCGATATATTTCGATTACGACAAGTTATTATTATTAGGGGAAATGTTGGGTGTTATAGTAATGTTCAAAATTCGAAAAACAAAATATTATCATATTATAAATCCAAAAATATACAATCATTCTCGGGAAAATGTGGAATTAATTCCAATTGTGCATTATACCATGTTTAAATCAGATTCCTGAAACAAAATATTGTATATTATTTTCGTATTTCCGTAATTTGAATATTTGATGTTACAATATCGATCATGGTAAAAATCATCATTTTTTTTTTTATGAAACACATTTTACATACAAGTACGAATTATTCGAATATGCGTAGTACTTGAATCCAGACTTCACTCTTGAAATATTAGAATATTCCAGTTAAATAAACCTGCATGATACTTGGTTTATAGTTTTGCATAAATTATGAGTTTGGCTTTTGGTCATATTTATTGCACTACAACTTCTAAGCTAAATTAGCCTCGTTACAACGGTAATAATTCCGCAACTATATGTCTATATGAAACGAACAGTTTATTTTAACAAAATAAACAATTGATTTAAAATATTTGTAGAAGCATCTTTTTTATTCGGTTTGTTCCTTTCAGATTGTTCTCAACTTTGTTTGGTTTATGTTCTCAAGTGGAAAGTTGAAAGAGATTTTAAATGAAGTACACTGAAACTTTAGAGCAGTTCAAGGTTTCAATGAATAGTTTCCGCAGAATTTACTTTTATAAATGAGCCAAGTTTGAAATTAAATTAATAAATGCAGTCGAAATCGGTACAAGATTCAGTTTTTCGAATTCAAAACAAATTTACCGGAGAAATAAAGCAGCGCAAGGTTAATAAAAGCAATGAAATAGTAACGTATAATACGTATACCTTATAACG